ATTTACATAGCACATGTATTAAACTTGTACGTATACATGTAGTAAACGTTTATATAACACATGTATTGAACTTGTACGTACACATATAGCTGACGTCTTTCAATAAACAGTGATGGCTGAAGAAGAACTCTCCCTTGTGTTCATTCACAACACTTGACTCTTTCTCGTGTCCGTCAAAACGGGCTGCCTTTGCTTTGTTTAAGTCATAATAGGAAGGATGAGGAAATGAATCTTATTGTGTGTGTGTGTGTGGAAAATATTGATAGTTCCATCATTAATTCGTATATAACAACCGTGTACAAGAAACAACTTTTTATACCATGTATCTTTAAGTGCGTTGTACGTTTATTTTTCCTGTTTGACTTTTAAGGCTTTCTAACTATACTCTTACCAGCCACTTAATATGTCGCAGGTGTTCAAGATAAAAGTTGTTTTGTTTGGTTATTTGGTTGGTTTAAAAAAATATATAAAACCAATATTGGCCCAAAAAGAATGACCATACTTTAAAAAAGCATGCTGTGGCGCCTATTGCGTCGCCTCAGAATTATTTTGTCAAAGAGGCCCTTATTGGACCAAATGGTTGTGAGGCGATGATTGGTCTAAACTATGGCGTCCTTAGCCTCGTGGTTATACGGGGTGTCCACTACGGCTGGACCGGGCCGATCCCCCGACTCGGTCGCCTGAAACTGAAGACAAACACAACTGTCTATCTATTTGTCTGTCTGTCTGTCTGTCTATCAGATAGGATCAGGTAGGGCAGGAGTTTCAAACTGGAAGCCTGCAAGCCAAGTGAAGTCCCCTAAGACAATAGTTTGCGGCGACAAAAGCAGTTTCTGGAACACTTGACTCGACATAATACAATTAGTGGGGCAGCTAAGTGTAAAATCATTCACATTGTCATACAAGCACCAAAATTTGCATGCACATTACTTTTGGGCTGTTGTTCCATAAAACGAACCTTTACCACGTGAAAATCCAATATGGCGGCCATTTTCCAAGATGGCGGCCATTTGCAGGCTCTTTGGTATATATCTATGCTTCTGTGGTTCATTCACATTGTCATACAAGCATCAAATTTGGCATGGACATTACTTTTGGGCTGTTGTTTCACAAAAGAACGTTTACCACATGAAAATCCAAGATGGCGGTCATTTTCCAAGATGGCGGCCATTTGCGGGCTCTTTGGTATATCTGTGCCTCTGTGGTTCATTCCCATTGTCATACAAGCACCAAAATTGGCATGCACATTACTTTTGGGTTGTTATTTCATAAAAGATTGCCAGCCA